CAGGATAGGGAGGTGGGGGCGAAGGGGCGTAGCCTTTTGGGGGCAAGTAGCCTGTAGGGGGACAGGAGTAGGTTAGAAGGAGCCCCCGACCTCGTCTCTTTACCCCTTAGCCCACGGGCCGCGAGGCTGAGGGGGGAAATGTGGTGGGAAGAGACTGAGAAAGATGGGGCGGGGGAGCAGGGCGGTGGCTTCCTGGGAGGAAGGGAGGGGCCCCACACAGCCAGTCCGAGCACATTCCCGGAGGATGCGTCCGACACCAGGCTCCCAAGTCTGTGGGGGGATAACGGAGACCCTCGGGCTTGGACCCACTTACCTGCCATGGGAAAAGGGCGAGGGTTCGTGGGATGTCGGTGTCCCAGAGGCTTAGTTCTAGAAGTGGAGGCAAGCTCGGAGACAGCCAGACAGACACAGAGACAGACACAAAGACGGACAGGCAAACGCGGAGAGGCAGCTGCGCCCAGCGCCAGCCCAGGGTCTCTAGGGCGGCGCGTCTGACTCGGGGAGAAACCGAAAGTGTCAGGTGGCAGGGCGGGGGCCCTGGGACCCTGGATTCCCTCAGGGGCCCCAGAACCGCCCCCTCCCTTTGTTCTCCCATTTTCCGCGGAGGTGGCTGTTGGCAGACGGCAGGACAGATGGACCCGCGGTCAGACCGACGGCCCGACCTCGAGGGAGGTCTCCGAACCCCTCTGTGCCCCCAGCTCACCTGAAGACCCTAGAATAGCCCGGGTGCCCAGCACTTGGCTGCTCACGGGAGCTAGTGGAGGCGGGCCCAGGGGATGACTCCGCCCCGACCCGTCCAGGCCCCGCCCCTCCCGGCCTAAGTGTCGCGCTTGCGCAGAAAGAATGCCGGTTCTCCTGAGGGGCCTCGGACCCCAGGCCACCGACTCTTCGGCTTAGCTGGCGTGCCCACCTCCTCCGCTCGGATGCAGAAGCCGAGAGGAAGCTCGCCTGGGGAGGGCAGCCGGGTGAGACCAAGCCCTGCGACCCCCGCCAGGTCTGAGGGCGCAGAGCGCTCAGTGCCCCTGGGTGGGAACCAGGGCCGCTTGCGCGGCGCTGGACCCCAGGCTCCTCCTCCCGAGGGCGGTTCGGGCCTCGCTGACGCAGCGGAACACCCTGCACACTCACCCACTGGCTTCTAGGACTGGCTCCTGGCTCCCTTTCTGCCTCCCTGGGGCTACCTCGCCAGTCTCCTCTCCCTGACGCAAAGGCCCACACAGACATCTTGCAATTACAGTACTTCCTACAAGCGCCCCCAGCCACACAGGGGACAGGCTGCCGGACAGTGTCAATAATGAGTGTGCGGGAGGTGAGGCTCAGGGGGGCTAGAAGAGGCAGCGCGGTCAGCAGGAAAGGCTTCCAAGAAGAGTCGTTTCACGCGCTTTGTCTGGGTTCTGAGCCGAGGCCCGCAGGTGTGAGGAAGTCCTGAGCCTTAGGGGCTGAGTGACAAGAGATGAGTTTAGAGAGGGAGTCCAGTCCACGTACGCAGAGGGCCTTGTGGTAGCTGGGATTTGGGCTCAAGGGCAGAAGGGAGCCCAGTGAAAGATTTTCAGACAGAGGGAGGTCAAATGTTTTAGGAAAACCATTTAAACCGCTTGGCAGAGAACAACAGAGGCACCCAGGCTGAGTTGTTGGCAGTATTCTAGAGGAGAGGATATCTGTGAAAGGGTGGATGGACGGAAGTGGCAGACTTTGGAGATATCGAGACAATAATATAGAACTTGTTTAGGAGGTGAGATGTGGAGATGAGGAGTCCAGGATGACCCCAGGTGCCTGTCTAGTAACCAGGCAAATGGAGGTCTCACACATCAAGATAAACTTGGAGAGAAGCACGTTTGGCGGCTCCTTTGTCCCGATGTCCATATTCCTCTGGGCTGGTCCCACAGCTTCAGTCATCATCTGCTTCAAACCCAAGGGTCTCACCTCTCCCCTGGTATCGCTTAGTGCCTCTGATTCTACCTGGCTCAAACCAAGAGCCATCCACTACCAAAATAGAGAAATACACAGAAGTTCAATTATTTAACAGAGATTTAGTCAGACAGCATTTAAGGTAATAGGTGTATATAGCTGTTTTTTAAGAAATTAACAAAAACTCCCGATTAGTGGAGAAGAGACAGACAATATACAAAAAATACACCAGAAGTCAGACAGTGACAAGTGCTATAAAGAAAAATAGAACAGGATAAGAAGGATAGAGAATGGTGGGCAGGAGTTGCAATTTTGAAGAGGGTGGATGAGGAATGTATCACCAAGAAGCCAATGGTTGAGCAAAAGACCTAAAGGCGGTTAAGGATTAAGGCATGCAGGCTTCTAGGTGTTTCAGGCAGTGGGAACAAGGGCAAAGGCCCTGAGGTAGAAGTGTGCCTTGTTTGTTCGATGAACCAAAAGGCCAATGAAGCTGGAGTGGAATGAACAAGGGGGGCCGAAGAGAGGTCACTAGAGGCCAGATCACATATGGTCCTGTAGATCATTGTCTTAGATTCTGAGTGAAATGGGAAATGTTGGCCAGAGACGTATGAGATTTACGTACTGAAACAGTGGTCCTCAATTGTGACCACAAGTTAGAATCATCTGGGGTGCTTTAAAAATACCTCTGCCTGAGCTACACTTCACATCAATTAAGTTAGAATATCTGGGGTGAGGTGCAGACACAGGAACTTTTTGAGAATTCCCCAGCATATTTTAAATTGCAGCTGAGGCTGAGGATGTCTGTGTTAGAAGGCTTTCTCTCTCTCTCTCTCTCTCTGGCTGTTTCATTGAGTAGGCTGTATGTAGGCAAGGGCAAAAGGAAGTTCTTGCAAAAAGCTAGATGATATATGATGGTGGTGTGGACCAGGTGCTAGCGTACTAGCAATGGAGGTGGTGAGAAATGGTCAGTTTGCAGTTATGTATTTGAGCCAATAGGACTTGATGATGGCTTGGATATAGGCTGCGAGGAAAAGGGAAGTCAAAGTTGACTCAAGCTTGGCCCAGGAGACCCTTCACTCTTATTGTTTGGTCATTTCCTGCCTGCCCACTACATCCTGAGCTCCAGGCACTCCTGTTCTCCCTCTTGACGAGTCACCATTATGATCTTGTCCCTTTTTCCTGGTGAACTATGCGTGCTGAAAACCCAGCAAATGGACCAAAGTCTTAAGCAGTCTCCAAAGGCAAAACAAGCCCACTTCAGCATCTACTTGTAACACTAAACACATTGTATCAAATTGTATTTTAAAGGGCCTATCTTCACTGCTGAAATCTGAGTTTCCTGGTTTGTACAAAAAGGAAAGAATTTAGCTTTGGGAACTGGACAGAAGAGGGTTTGAATCACAGCTTCCTCAGGCCCTAGCTGTATGATACAGAACAAGTTCACCTCTCTTAGCTTCACTTGTCACTAACTTGCACAACTGCTGAGAAGACTGAACACAGTGCAGAGTAATAATAGGACCAATTATCAAGTGGGCCTTATATATCTTGGTTCCTTAAGAGTCCAGCCCACTGGCTGGGCCAAAGCAAAGGTATTAGGGATACCTTACATGGACGGTGGTTCCAGGTGTCATGGTCTCCTCCACCTGGAGTTTCCCTGCGCCCCAGACACTGCCTGAGATGAAGGATGGACATTCTGCAGCACTGGACTGGGAGGTACAAGCCTGGGGATCATGGTGGCTCTGTCACTAGCTCTCTGGGCTGCTCTGGAGGTCCCCTCTGAGGCCTTATTTTACTTATCTTTAAAACGAAAAACTACTGTGATCCTCTACTAATACACCTCAAGTCATGCCTCCTCCCTGGATATAAATGCTTCAGTGGCTCCCCATTGCCCTCAGAAGAGAGTCCAACCTCTTGGCACAAGGCACTTCACCCTTTGGCCCCTTCTGTTCTCATCTTTCTCTATTGACCCTCTCACGATCTTCAAGCCAGCCACCAGGAATTCTTTCAGGCCTCAAGTGCACTGGGCTCTCTCTTGCTTCCAAAGCTCTCACTTTGTTCTGGTACACACCCCTCTCCCTCCTCACCACCAAACTCCTGCAGGTCTCCACTGAACACTGCTACACTGTACTGCTACAGGGATCTGGAGCTCAGTAGGGACTAGGATGGGAGATACATTCTGGATTAAAAAGAATGTAGATTGTCATTAAGGTTTTGGGGCCAAATGAGCTTACCTACAAATCCTCTCACTCAGAAAAATGATTCCTTTTGAATACATACCTTCAGAAAAATTAAATATGCAGCCCCAGCATGCTATACAGCTATCCACATGTTTATAAAACATCCACAAAAATAGAAATCTTAAAAGGTGAAACAAAACATGTACACATAGTTTTTTTTTTTCACTAAAATTTGCAAACCATTGATTTAAACTGGGTAGATGAGAAGCTGGCAAAGCAGCCAGAGACAGGGAAGACCAGCAGACTGGTGTCAGGGAAGGAACAGGATGTTTGAGGACAGTGTGGCCAACTGTGTCAAATGCTGCAGAGGCTGAGGAGGATAAGACTGAAAGTCATCCACTGGGTCTGGCAACCAGGAGGTCCTAGTGATTCATGGGATCCTTCCAAGACATTTAGGGGGAAGAGATGGGATGGAAGAGTAAACTTGAGGCCAGACCTCTCTCCCAAGAGTGGGTTGCAGAGTAAACTTGAGGCCAGACCTCTCTCCCAAGCTCAGATATCTCCCTGAGCTCCCCCAACTACCTGCTTAGCGCCTCTGCTGGGATGTCTCTCAGGTCAGAAGCAACATGTCCAAAACTGACCTGATCTGCCCCTGCCTTCAGTGTTACAGCACCTCCAGCCGACCAGCTGTGTAAACCAGGAATCGCCCTTTCATCCACCTGTTATAGCCAATCCATCAGCAAGTCCTAACAGCACAGTCTTCAAAATATATTCTGAATTGGACCTTTTTTCACTACCTCTTTCACCCTCAGCTAAGCCACATCATCATCTCATGCCTGGACCTGTTCAGTGGCCTCCTGACTGGTCTCCCTGTTGCCATCCTTGCTGTCCTAATTGGTTCTCCAGATTTTTTAAACATATAAATCAGATCCTAGCACTGTCTCTTTAAACCTTTCAATGACTTACTACTGCACTGCAAATAAAGTCCATCACTGCCTGCAAGGCTGACCCTGGCCATCAGGGACCCCCCTCATCACTACATGTCAGCCACATGGCTTTTGCTCTCTCTCCAACTCACCCAATTCTCTCCTGCCTCAAGGATTTCAAACTGCCCCATTTCGGCCTGTTTTACCAGGTATTCTTTCCGCCTAGAATACACGTCCCTTCCACTCTGCCCATGGTTAGTTCTGGCTTCAATAGGACCTCCTCTGTGAGGCCTTCCCATCTAATGAGGCACACTCTCTGCTGTTCCATTTTTCCAGCCTCCCTTTCCTTTCCCTTCAAGCACATAGCACAACTCACAGTGGTATATTTGTGTTTAGTTGTCTGTTTACACTACAAGATGGGAAATTCCACAAGGGAAAGGATGGTGTCTGTCTTGCTCACAGTTCATTTCCCTTGTAATGTCTGTCTGTCTGATACATGACCAACATTTGATGAGCACTGGCTTAATAAATATTGCCCCCTAAGGACTGTCTGGTTCTCTGCTGTGGGTGCTACTCCACCCTGTCTTGCTACCGTTTCTCACTCCTTTTCTGTCTAACTCAGAAACTCATGTGGACTGATGGGCTCATGTAGCTGCAAACCTCTCCCCTCCCACTACTGTCTTCCTTCACTATGTGTCAGTCACACAACAGAGCTCTTTTTAAGGATCATCTCAAACACTGTGAAGTATTCTCTGACCCCCAGTACATGATGTTCTGTCCCGGCTGTGAACCCCAAAGTATTCTGTAACTAATGACACTCCTCCTGTCCTGCCTTGCCTTACCCCTGACTTCTAGAGTAAGTAGGTGCTCAATAAATTTGTGAAATGACAGGGCTGAAAACCTCTACCCTACAGTAATCTAGTATTAATGCTAGTGAGCATCAGAAGCACACAATAACTTATTAAAATATAGATTTCCAGGCCCCGGAGAGGGCCTCAGTAAGAATCTGCATTATTTCAAGCATTCTTTATGACCCTAATGCCCATCGGTCTGAGAACCTCATAACAGGTTAAGTTGAAGTGAACAGACTCCCACCCAGACCCAAAGCTTCCTGACTCAGTCTTAGGAAAGGGAAGGAGCTCAAAGTCTGACAATTCCTACCCTTTCTCCTTCAAGAGGTTAGATAAAAAAAGACTGTAAAGTTCTTTATTTGCCTTTCCCTTTTAATCCCCTCCCTCCTCTGGTCCTAAATAAAGTATCCAGCGATTAAACACAAGGAAGCTCAAAGAGCCAAGGCAAGCCACCCCAAGAGTGACAGGCTCCCTCCCACAGGGGCCAAAGTCTGGAAGCTGGGGTCTCCACTCAGAGCCTGGTAGTAGAAGCTGGTGCAGAATAAGGTAGTTCCGGAAGCGAGCAGTATCCCGGCCTGAAGGAGATAACAAGACAGAATGCAGGCTAGTAAGAACTGGGCAGGTAGAGGGCGTGAGTAGGGCTTGGTCAGGGGTGGGGGAGGGGGAGATTACCCAGAGGGGCTTTCTGCACAGGGGCACCCCTAACAGGGCCAGGCTGTGTAAGAAGTGGTATTTGTTGGTCTTGTCAAAGAGCTGTAAGAAAGAGAAATGGGAGAAATTCCTAAGCAACGCAGGATCCCGAGGGTACACATCGGACAAGAAGAGTCCGTCCTCCAACCCTACCTCTCAAGTCCCAGCTTGCCCCTCCCTCAGGCACCCAGGCCTCAGACTTCCAGCCCTTGACGTACCAAAGACCTGCCCTCCACCCCTCCCCTCCTTCCCTCAGGGATCCCAGACTTCGTGCCCTCATAGGCCCGGAAGTCGAGGAGCCCCAGCGCAGTTACTTCACCTCCTTCCCGTAGGCATCCGGAAACTGGGCTCCTGTGGAAAGGACAAAAGCAAAGGTTACGGTCCTAGCACCGGCCTCGACGGCCCCAATCCCAGGGGGACCCAGGGGGACAGAGGTGAGAAAAGGCGCCCCCAAGGAGCTTCTGATTGGTGGAAACACGCACCAGGTCGTTCTGGGAACCAAACGGACCCGGCTGCGGGACATAAAAAGGTTTAGGGATCCGTGGGCTGTCTGGTCAACGCGAGGACCGACACTTTCCATAGACTCCGTCTCTGCATTAGACCCCAAAGGTCGCCCCCAACCCAACACAATCCCAGCTCCGTCCTCAGGCCCCTAACCGTGCGCCCCGTAGGAGGACAAGCCTAAGGCCCCGGCTCCGGACAAGGCGCCCAAGCGGCGAAAAGCAGCCCCCGGTCCCGCCATGGCTGTGGATGGTCACGCGCGGGACGAACACCGCCCAGGCCACCCAAGAGGCCAGCCAATCCCCATATCCCATGCAAATACGGTCCACAGGTGCCCAATCCAGGCCGTGTTCATTTCAGCGTCCGGGTCCTCACCCAGGTACTTGAGCCTTTGTAAAACCTCTGTTGAGTGGCGAAGACGTCTGGCGGGCGGAGAAACTAGAACCAATTAGGAGCGGAGAAGAGAAGCAGTAGTGGGGGCGGAGTTGGGGGGGCGGGACTAGAGGATTTGCGTCACGGATTGGCCCCCTTTCTAAGTTGATCGCTTTTTCTAACAACCCCCTCAACCCTCCGGCCAATTCCCAAAGATCCCAGTCCCCACGCAAAGTTCCGCCCCTTTCCCCACAAACTCCTCCTTTTCAGCTTTAAACCAGACCCCCTCCCGAAAAGAGGCGGCCTCACGGTCAGTGAAGCCCCACCCACCATCTTTAACCCCACCCATCACAGGATGGTCCCTCCTCCGGGACTGAGGGCTCCGCCTTCTTCATGTGATGCCCCGCCTCCTATAGTTCACCCCCACCTCCTCTCCCCGACCAACCGCGCGAGCCCCGAGGGTGGGAGATCAGGGGGGATGTCTTCACCCTGTCCCGGCCTGCTTCGTCCATCCGTCGGTCTGTCCACTCCCGCCCCCTTCCACCTTATCCAATCCCCCCACACTCTGGAGGGCGGTCAAGCAGGCGGGTGCGAGCGAGGGGTGTGCGCCGCTCTCTCGGCAGG